AGCTTGCTGGGTGCGGCGCCGCCGCGCGCCGTATCGAGAGACTCTGTCGGGGCAGGTTAAAATAGCGCCGCAGGCTCCCCGGGCCGCCGTGTCCGCGCACAGACCACGGAAAAGCCTCATGATGTGTATTGCACCACTTCCGTATGCCTGCAGGGTATCTTTAACCGAGCCCTCCGAGCCCTCCACACCCCTCCACACCCCTCCGACCCCTCCGACCCCTCCGACCCCTCCGACCCCTCCGACCCCTCCACACCCCTCCGCGAGCCCTCCGAGCCCTCCGAGCCCTCCGAGCCCTCCGACCCCTTCGACCCCTCCGACCCCTCCGACCCCTCCGAGCCCTCCGAGCCCCCCGAGCCCGGCTCGGTGGCTCGCCCCTCCGAGCCCTCCGGGCACTCCATCCCTCATGAGCCCTCCCGAGCCCTCCCGAGCCCTCCAGCGCCACCCTCGTGCCTCTCTGCCCTCCGAGCCCTCCGAGCCCTCCGAGCTCTCCACCCCTCCCGAGCCCCACCCCTCGCGCTAGGGACCCTCTTGCCGGACGACACCCTCCGAGCCCCCCAAGCCCTCCAAGCCCCCCGAGCCCTCCAGACCCCTCCATCCGCACAGCCCCTCCGGCCCCTCTGCCCCCTCCGACCCCTCCAGCCCTCTCTAGCCCTCTGGACCCCTCCTACGCCTCGCTTTTGGCCAGCCCTCCAAGCCCCCACCCCTCCTGGGCCCTGCCGCCTGACACCTCTATCGGTGGAGGGCTTTAGGTCACGGTCCGCACTCCCGCCCTCCCGACCCCTCCACACCCCTACAGCGGCACCCCTACCCCTCCCGCCGTTTTAGGGCTTGCCCACCCGCACTCTGGCAAGTCGCCCCGCCAGTGTCCGGACGATGGCGCTGCAACCGCGGCGGCTGCTGGCGAGGGCAGCAGCGGCGCGCGGCGAGGCGGCGCGAAATTATTTGTTGGGGTCTGCACCTCCGAGCCCGAGTGTGGCCCTTCGAAGAACCTTCACTTTTTGAGATCCTTCACTCAGACTTCAGAGAGAGCAATAATTTGTTTGAATTAGAGAGAGAGATTTTTAGCAATACCAAACAACTCTAACACTCACACGTCATTTGGGGCCTGGAGCCTTGTTCACGCGCGCGCGAGACGTGCAGACAGGCTTGCCAGGTGAGAGCGAATGGCGCGGTTCACGCCTCGCACAACAGAGAGAGAGATGCGCTCTGCATGGTGGGACATAAAAGAGAGCGAGAGGAGTATTGGACGAGTAGGCCGTGCGGTATAATGCTGCCGCGCGCAGAAGTTCTGTTTTCTGCACGACCCGCTCAGCCGAAACTGCTCACTGGCGGGCGGCCGTGTGCCAGCAGCAAGCTGCTGTCTGCTGACGGACGTGGCTGCCCAAAAGGAAGTCCTCTGGCTGCGAATACCAACGGGACGCAGAGCTGTCGGCCAGTTCTCGCCCTTTGGCGCTGCGCAACCGCGGCGGCTGCTGGCGAGGGCAGCAGCGGCGCGCGGCGAGGCGGCGCGAAATTATTTGTTGGGGTCTGCACCTCCGAGCCCGAGTGTGGCCCTTCACGTGAAGAACCTTCACTTTTTGAGATCCTTCACTCAGACTTCAGAGAGAGCAATAATTTGTTTGAATTAGAGAGAGAGATTTTTAGCAATACCTTAATGTGATGTTACAGGTGGGTTAAGAGGGAGATGTGCGCGAGCTGCGGGACCGCCGGGACGGCGGGCAATACCAAACAACTCTAACACTCACACGTCATTTGGGGCCTGGAGCCTTGTTCACGCGCGCGCGAGACGTGCAGACAGGGTTGCCAGGTGAGAGCGAATGGCGCGGTTCACGCCTCGCACAACAGAGAGAGAGATGCGCTCTGCATGGTGGGACATAAAAGAGAGCGAGAGGAGTATTGGACGAGTAGGCCGTGCGGTATAATGCTGCCGCGCGCAGAAGTTCTGTTTTCTGCACGACCCGCTCAGCCGAAACTGCTCACTGGCGGGCGGCCGTGTGCCAGCAGCAAGCTGCTGTCTGCTGACGGACGTGGCTGCCCAAAAGGAAGTCCTCTGGCTGCGAATACCAACGGGACGCTGCGCAACCGCGGCGGCTGCTGGCGAGGGCAGCAGCGGCGCGCGGCGAGGCGGCGCGAAATTATTTGTTGGGGTCTGCACCTCCGAGCCCGAGTGTGGCCCTTCACGTGAAGAACCTTCACTTTTTGAGATCCTTCACTCAGACTTCAGAGAGAGCAATAATTTGTTTGAATTAGAGAGAGAGATTTTTAGCAATACCAAACAACTCTAACACTCACACGTCATTTGGGGCCTGGAGCCTTGTTCACGCGCGCGCGAGACGTGCAGACAGGGTTGCCAGGTGAGAGCGAATGGCGCGGTTCACGCCTCGCACAACAGAA